CACGCCCCCCACTGGGGATGGAGCCCGCCACCCAGGGCGGAATCGAACCATGACCCTCCTGGTTCCCAGGTCGGTGCTCAACCACTGAGCCACACCAGCCAGGCACTTTCAATTTAATTGCAAAACCGAATCCAGGGAGCCGGGATTGCTGGTGTCAGCACGCACCGGTTCCAGACGCAAAGGAGAACAGCCCGACACATAACCCTATACCCTGGCGGCCTCGCTGCCAATACAGGGCTTCAGGGAGGAAAAAAACGAAAGACACAACAAAAAAACAACAACAAAAAACCCCCACTTAGCGCTGAACAAGAGCTCGTGGCGCCGGAAATTGAACGTCTGTTTCGCAGCGTTTTTAACGGGGCAGTGAGCGGCCTTGTTAGGGACCTGCGGTAACCGTTCCCTTCCCTTCGCAGACCTTCGGCGCCGACGACGTGGTCTGCACGAGGATTTATGTTCGGGAGTGAAGGCGGCGCCCGCTCCTGCCTCCTGCGTGGACAGCGCGATGCATGTCCCCTCTCTTCCCCCCACCCCCGTCCGAGGAATGTCATAGGTCCGAGCCGCCGTCCCCTCGCCGTGTCAGCGTCAGGCGGCCCCCTCTCCCCCTGCCCCAGCTGTAGTGGTCCCCCCAGGCCTCCGCCCGGCCTGTCCCTGGTGCTCCATAGTTTGGCATCTGCACGGTTTCATCATCATTAAACTGGTTGCACACATCTCAAGGCGTCTCCCCCTAATTTTTTTAAAAAATATTTTTACTAGAGGCCTGGTGCACGAATTTGTGCACGGGTGGGGTCTGCCTGCCCCAATAGCGCGGATCAGGCCAGGCTGGCCAGGGGGAGGGGACACAGTAGGTTGGCCGGCCAGCTCTGCCCCTGGTCGAACTCCCTGTTGAACTCCCATTCCAGGGGACAATTTGCATACTAGCCTTTTATTATTTAGGATGTCCTCCACCTTGAATTAGTCATTTTTCAAATCTACATGTGTCCATTTTTATGGTTTATCATTCCATGCCTGTACTTTGCAGCTTGGTCTTTATTTCTTTGAAAGTTGTAAGCCCGGTTGCATTGCAGTCGGTTAGTCTGTTTCTGCAGGTCGGTTTGTTCGTGTTCTGGTCTCCTTTCTGGTGCTCCTGGTCTTGTGGACTGTACGATGCACATTATATTTGAGAAATGATTTGCAGGAGTCATTTGAGGCCCGGGATGTTGTCTTGATTGCCTCTGCCTGTCAGCATATGTGTGACTTGCGAGCCCAGAATCATCTGAGTCCGCGTTCCAGGTGTGAGGCTGCCTGGAGCCCCTGCGTGATGGGGAGCGCGGGCTGGCTGGCTCTGGTTTACTCTCCTCCGAGGGGAGCCCTCAGCCTGCCGCGGCAGGGGGGGTG